CCCCAGGCTGGTCAGAACCGAGCAGGACCCAAGGTCAACAGCCTCCAGAAGTCCATGAAAAACACACTCCCTCTCACACGGGGGTCCTATGTTGCCCTTCACAAACAACACTTATGCCCTGCCTTTTCCTGTCCCTCTTTTGAGCTCACTCTATCTCTCCATTCAGATCTGCAAACATCTCTCCATGCCTCCACTTTCCTCCCACAGAGGGAATGGGTAGAAATTCTAGGTGCCACCCTTCAAAGCCAGTGGGACAGAGATAAGGTGAGGATGAGACATACAAGGACTCGGGGGGTGGCGGGGGTGAGGGCAGGTGGAGAGGTGACTGGTGACAGTGTGTGCATGCTCAGACTTAGGGCTCCCATACTGGAGATCCTGTGTGCCCACTCTGGGCATTTACTGCCCATATGGGAAAATATTTCATCTTTCACGTTGCATCTGAGTGGCAAATATATGCTTGTTGCATTATGCCTGAGTAGTCTTACATCAAAATTTGCCCTCTATGGAGAAGAAATATATATATTAATTATGTTTTGGATTGACTTCATAGACATCTGGGAGCATAATTTAAGTATAAACTATACTCGAGACTCGCAGTGTTATTATTCTTATTTGATTTTTAACCCTAAGAATTTTCCAGTCTGACAGCCAAACCAACATTTGGGCAGATTTGCAGCTCTCTGGAGCTGAAGCCAAGCCAATGTTCTGCCCAAAGGAAAAGGTCCAAAATCCTGGAACTCAGAAGTGACACCCTCTCCCTGTGTCCCCATCGTCACCCATTCCCAGTGACCTCTGGAAACACTTTTATCACCTTGGACTGGCCTTGGAGCCCATGCATATTTGAGAAACTGCTTGCTTCATGGGCATCCAGCTTGCCCTGTGTCCCCCTGACATCCAGCTTGCCCTGTGTCCCCCTGACATCCAGCTTGCCCTGTGTCCCCCTGACACTCAGTTTGCCCTGACAGACTCGGTCCACACAGCTCTGGGTAAACGTTCTTCTGCACACCCCTCTCACAGTTGCCTGGGCCTCCCTGGGGAGGAAGGAAGGCTGTCAGCGGGTCATCTGACGGTAGTAACCCTGGGCGCCATCACTAGCAAGCCCTACCCCCAGGGCTCTGAAACTGGGCACTTCAGCCACGGAAACCCTGCCCGTGGTTGGGTAGAACCGAGAACCCCCAAACTCTGCAACCCCAGGGATGTCCAAGCCATCAAGCTTCCTTTGAGTTCTTCATTGTTTTGAAATGGAGTCTATATGAACGCTACATATGTGTGCACACGTACAGTATGACACCACACACACACATCATCATCATCATCATCATCATCATCATCATCATCATCATCATAGCCATACACCCAACTGTCCTAAGAGCACATTACACTCCAGTAACGCAGTCAGCCACAGATCCCAAGTCTCTCTACAGATTACTCTCTACATTTTTGATTGTATTTTCTGGGTGACCAGGAGGAATCCTGGTAGGAAGAACTTCCATTTTGACCAGGCATCAAGGAAAACACAGTCTTTTCCTTTCAGTTCAGTTCAACATATCTGAGAACTGACAAGACTCCACAGAGCAGACGCGGCTGCCACACATGGTGCATTCTGCTTTCTGCTCTGCTGTCTCCATGGTTCTGGGGCTGGAACCACAGGACACATTTATGCGATTACCTGAAGCCTAGGTCTCCACATGGAATGGGTCAGCAGGGTGGAGTCAGCTGCATTCCTGGAAGTCATCACTACATCGGAACAGCCGTGAGTAAGCAGCTCAGTGTATGCTGAGGAGACAGTGAAATTAAATATCCTTCCAATTTAATTCTCCCCAGGCCAGCTCCTCAAAATGTCCAAAGCCATCTCAATGTCACAAGAAACTGATGAAATATGGAGAAGCAACACTGGGGTGTAAAGAAAGAAAAAGTCTTCATCTATTTCTTTCACTTTTGTAAGTTTACAAAACCCACGTCCACAAGAACTGAGTGTTCTGGAGCCTCAGAGTCCACAGAAAGGACAGCTCATGGAAGGCCCTAAAGGTAGCCCTGGTTAACTTCAGAGAAAATTCACCTCTTGTGAAAGCAATTTATTCTGAATTGAAGTATTCGATCCGGGTGGGATGCTCTTTAAGACACGGAAAGTTCTAAAGGGAAGTTTTTAAGACTCAGGAAGTGAACAACTCACAAGTCCTAGGAAGTCCCCAAAGCTTACTGATGCACAAGCCCCACCCCCAAGGTTATGTAAGTAGTAAAGACAGTGGAGGAAAGGAGTGTCTCCTTCCTGCTGAGCTTCCTATGAGTCACACAGAGAGCCCCACTGTTCCAGCTTTCATGAGTGATGTCACCTATGCTAGGGTGGGCTTTTTAGTGACATGGCTGCCTTTAGGTCCCTGCTCTTGTAAATAGCCCCTCACCCACACTTCTATAAGTAACCCCAGTAAGTTCTTTGGTTCAGCAAATTGGACTTCAGTGGTGATATTATTTTGGCCTATTGTTAGATCCCCTTTTGGGGTGAGTAGACAGCTGTTCCATCTCCCTGGGAATAGTGTTACATACACCTCCATGCAGAGAATGTTACAACAGCTAGTAAAGGAGATAATGCGAACCAAGTATTCGAACTTCCATGAAAGACAGAAGCGAGGGGTCTGGCCAGCAGGGAGAAGGTTGCTCAGCAGAGGAGCTGAGGGCTGGAGACACACTTGAGAGGAGGTCAAGGACAAGCGAGCAAGGAACACAACTTTGGAGGTCAACTGTAAGCAAGAGGTTTTGAAGACTGGTGTGCTGTGGGATGGTCTGTATGTCAAATCTGTTGCTCTGAATGGTCAATAAATAAAACACTGATTGGCCAGTGGCCAGGCAGGAGGAAGTATAGGCGGGACAAGGAGGAGAAGAATTCTGGGAAGTGGAAGGCTGAGTCAGAGACACTGCCAGCCGCCGCCATGACCAGCAGCATGTGAAGATGCGGGTAAGCCACCAGCCATGTGGCAAGGTATAGATTTATGGAAATGGATTAATTTAAGATATAAGAACAGTTAGCAAGAAGCCTGCCACAGCCATACAGTTTGTAAGCAATGTAAGTCTCTGTGTTTACTTGCTTGGGTCTGAGCGGCTGTGGGACTGGCAGGTGACAGAGATTTGTCCTAACTGTGGGCAAGGCAGGAAAACTCAAGCCACACTGGTGTGCCCAGAACCTAAGCTGAGGGTTTCTGTCTCATTTGGAATGGATGGACAGGTGGCGGAGAAGATGTCTTCCAGAGTTCTATGGAACGGTATTATGGTTTGACTCTGAAATACCCACAGTGCTGTTTTGAATGCAGTGGACCTTTAGGAGGTGTGGCCTGGCTGGTGAAAGCGGGTCACCAGGGCCAAGCCTTTGAAGGTTTTTGCTGCCCCCTGGTCCACCGTGATGTGAACAGCTCTACCTCACACTCTTGCAGCCCAGGCTCAGCTGCTCTACCATATCTTTCCTGCCATAATGGAGACAATTCTCTGAAAGCGTGAGTCAGATACACGCCCCCTCCTCTCCATTGTCTCTGTTGTATATTCTGTCACAATGGCACACAAAACCTGTAGAAATAAGGACAATTGGACATTGGTGGAAACACACAGACTGGCCTCAAGGCAATGCCCACTTCCTCCTCATGTACTGCCCATGCCCACCCTCGGGCTGGATGGAGGCTTTCTTTCTGTAATCTGCCACCCTGCCCTGTTCTACACCCCTAGTCCCTCCTCCCAGGGAAGGTACCGGTTCTCAATAACACAGTTCCATACTGACCTTCGACACCCTGAATAAGGTTCCTATAAGTCTTCTAAAAGATGCCAGGCAGGGCTGCAGCAGGAACTCAAGAGCTTACACAGGAAGCAATATGGACTAGGAAGGAGGGCCCAGCTGGTGGGAACGTCATCTGGGCAGCAAAGTATATAGGCCAAGAGGAGGCGCATGCTAGAAAGAGTGCTGACAGCTCCAGGGGAAATGTGCATGTCTGACCTGCAGGAAGCCCTGCCTCAAGGTCCTCTCAGTGTGTCCCAGCATTGACCTGCTCAGCTGGGGTAACGTAAGCGTGGCAAATTCTCCACGAGCATCAAGCTTGGCTTAAAAGGATGCTGTTCCTTTTGATGCTTGGAGACCCTCAGAGAGTCTCCCCTGATGGATCTTATTATACTCTGGGCTGGTACTCGCTACCCAGGACTGACACTTGTGAGCCATCCTGTTATAACTGCACCTGGCCTTCATGGCCAACACCATAAAGATGGGCAGGAGCCCTGCACAGCGATTGGTTCCAGAGAACTCTGAAATACAAATTACCCACTCTTGGGTATTTTTAACAGCAGCACAAATGAATGAAGATACCCAACCTCTGTGTGCTGAGACGGAGTAAAAGGGAAAGCGAGCTGAGCACCAGCTGCCATCTCTCCTGGCTTCCTGACTATAGATGCAATGGGACGAGCGGCCTCGAGCTCCTGCTGTCGCGACTTCCCGCCATGACGGACTGCACCCTCCAACAGTGAGCCAGACCACTCCTTCTTTAGCTCGCTGTTGTCCAGGATTTGATCAGAACGAGAAACTCTCCAGGGAGATGGCCCAGTGGGTAAAGTACTTGCTGCACAAACACGAAGACGTGAGTTCGGGTCCCCACCACCTGTGTAGAAGCCAGATAGGGAGGCACGTGTCTGTAAACCACAGCACTAGAGAGGGGGGGACAGGAAGGTCCCCGAGGCTCAGCCACCAGCCAGGCTAGCAGAGTCAGTGAACTCCAGGTTCAGTGAGAGAAAGTGTCTTAAAAAGAAAAACAGAAGAATGAATTAATCCTGGATGCCAACCATCCAGGATTATTTGTTATTATGTTGTGTGATCTATATGCACACAACAAAGGCACACACACACACACACACACACAACAGAGATAGATAGATAGATAGATAGATAGATAGATAGAGAGAGAGAGAGAGAGAGAGAGAGAGAGAGAGAGAGAGAG